CAAATGATTTTGAGTTTGGTTCAACTTTGTTCTCCCTGTCTATCCAGGATCTCCTACATAGATCCTCTTCCAAGTGGTTGACAGTAGAAGCTGGGCACCATCTAGTTCTTCTGGTCTCATAGTCATATGGGCTGCAGATCAGATGGTGTACCAGTCACTAGGACTAATTGTTTCCATGGATTTTTGGTTTTCTTCATTCTTCTTGGCTCTGGATAAAGAGAGACCCATCGTTGCATCTAGATGGCAGCTTGCAAGCTTTTAAGATCTCAGTCACTACGCACCACAGTGGGAGGTGGAACAATGTTTTGCATAGTATGTTATGCCAATTGAGCTTAATGTTCTCTGCGATTATGGTCCTGAGCCCACAGTTTCAACTACTCTGTCCCTCTGGGTAGCTGGCTGTGACCAAGCAGTGACCACAACCTTGCCCCTTGTCAGCTCCATTATACAGTTGGGAATTCAGATCATACACATAAAGTTATACCACTGTCTGCCAACCCTATACCATTCCTTTACTTTTAATCTACCTGTGTCTTCATTTTTAAAGTGAATTTCAATAGACAAAATATAGTTGGGTCATTTCTTTCATATACTCTGTCAGTCTGTGTTTTAATTGGTGTATTTAGACAGCACTCACATGTAAAGAGATTATTGACATACTCAAATTAATATCTACCATATTTATTATTGTTTTCTATTTATTGTACTTTTTATTTCTTTGATTGTATTCCCCTCATTTTCTGCCTTCTCTGGTTTTAATTGGCATGTTAGATTTCTCTTTCTTTTCATCTCTTATGGAGCTCTGGTGGTGTAGTGCCTAATGGATTTGACTGCTAATTAGAAGGATAGTGGTTCAAACCCACCAGCCACTCCTCAGAAGGAAGGTTGGGCAGTCTTCTTCCGTAGAGATACCACCTCAGAAACACAAGGAAGGGATGTTATGAGTCAGGATTAACTTAATGGCAGTGAGTTTCTTTTGGTTTTGCATCTTTTACCATATGAGTTTTCTGCTTTTAAAATATTTTAGTGGTTGCTCTAGGGTTTTAATATGCATTATGACTAATCTGAGGCTACTTTAAAATTATACTACTTCACAGGTAGTGGAGGTATTTCAGACTATTTTCACTCTTTCTTTTTGACCCTTATAATAATGCTATATTTATTTCACTTATCCATAAGCTAACTACTCAGTACATTGTTGTTACTATTTTTAAAATATAGCTATTCATTAGGATCAATTTTTTAAAAAATAAAAGTAGAAAATTTTATTTTACCTTCATTTATTTCTCCTCCTCTTCCTTTCTTATGTCAATCTAAGTTTAAGTCCTATAAAATTGTCCTTCTTTCTGTAGGACTTCTTCTCACCAGGCAGGTCCACTGATGACAAATTTCTTCAGTTTTCATTTGTCTGAAAATTTCTATTTCTACTAGGAATAATCTCACTAGGTACAGAATCCTAGGGTTTTTTTTTTTTTTTTTGCTTTGTTTTGTTGTTTCCACACAACACTTAAAATATTTCACTCTTTTTTCACATGGTTTCTCAAGAGAACTTCAATTAATTCTCATCCTTGATTCTCTATAAATCAGTTGTCATTGAGTTGATTTCCAGTAGAAACCTCCATATTCTCACAATAGAACTGTGTTATGGTGTTTTCAATGGCTGAATATTTTGAAAGTAGATCACAGGCCTTTCTTTTGTTACTCTCCCTTTACTCTTTAACTTTCAAGTTTTCCTCTACTGTCAATTATCTTCACCCTGAAAAGTTTTCTTGCAGCTCTGACAAATTTTATTAGTTATTCCTCATCTGAAATTATCATTGTATTCACCTTCACTCTTGAAGTGAAGAATATTTTCACTAAATAAAGAATTATGAGTTGGCAGTTCTTTTCTTTCAGCTTTGTAAAGATGTTGCTTCATTATCTTCTGGTCCCATGTGTTCAGATGAGAAACTCAGTGAGTAGTATTATCATTCCAATCAATAGTATGCTAACATTCTTATTTATAATGTAAACATCTAGATCACCTATGGGACTTTTCTATTGCAAATTTTGTCTCATAGTTTTGGCCATGTCCTTTGGCTTGCCTGGTATGTTCCTTTTGAATGCCAAACCTTTGTGTAAGATACTTCATAAGCTGTGGTTGATATCATCTTTCTTTGTTAGAGTGTTGGCTCTACCTTTCTCCTGCTGGATAGTGGGTTGGATGACCACATGAATCCAATTAGACATTATATTAACTCCTGGCTAGTCTCTTGTATGGGAGCTCTGGTAGCATAGTGGCTAAGACACTTGCCTGCTAACCAGACGGCTGGCGGTTCAAACCCACCAGCCACTCCTCGGAAGGAAGGTTGGGCAATCCTACTTCCGTAGTGATACTGCCTCGGAAACCCAAGGAGGACTCGACAGCACATAACAACAACAACAACAAGTCTCTTGTATGTTATGAAGGCCCCAATCTCAGACTTTAGCCTTGCAGAGTTAGTAATTAGGAACCTGGAGTGTTCACCAGAGTTCTTCCTCACAACACATTTTAAACTCCAGCTCTTATCCACAGAACATAACATTACTACTGAAAACTCTTGCCTACTTTTCACAGGATTCTTGCTTGATTTAGTAACTTCTTTCCATGCACAGCTTCATAATTCAGAAAATACATTAAGTGAAAACCTGACAGGTTTTTCTCATTTGTCTACTTCCTTCTCTCTGCTATTTTAGCTCCTCAAGCCCTAATTTTTGTCTCCTCAGGCTTACTGTTATGTTATATGCTGTCGAGTCGGCCCCGACTCATAGCGACCCCTCCTTGGGTTTCCGAGGGAGTATCACTATGGAAGTAGGATTGCCCAACCTTCCTTCTGAGGAGTGGCTGGTGGGTTTGAACTGCCAGCCTTCTGGTTAGCAGTCAAGTGCCTTAGGCACTATGCTACCTCAGGCTTACAGGTCTATCAAAAATTTATGCCAGTTTCTCCTCTTCTTAGCCCATCTTCATTTTCCAAGGCCTTTTGCCATAATTATCACCTTCTTACTTAGGCCCAGAATTAGTCAATACACTCAGGAAAAACATAGCTGCAGAAGGTTGTCTCTCCTCTTCAAAATTTGTCTTTCTACAAGATTTCAGCTTTTCAGTTCCTTGTTTCTTAAACAACTCTCTGCTATCTTTAGGGAAATATTTTAAAACGTTATTCATTCCAGTATTTCTTCTCTACACCTGAAGGGTGGCACTATGCTTTCTATTTCTTTTACATATACAATAATTCCAGTAATAGTTTAAACATATAAATAATTATTGACTATTGAGTTCTGATATAAAAATATAATATACAAAATTATATTTACCTTTCATAATTTTCAGTGATCCCAGCAAACTGCACTGCTTCACAGCGTACAAAAATTATAAATGCAAGTAGTATAAGTGTTATAGCAGATGTAATTATTATAAATCTCATAATGGCTTTAGGAGACATTTCTAACTTGGAAATAATGACACCTCCCAGTATCAGGCCAATTGCACATCCTGGAAAGAAAAGAAGTCCTAAAAGGAAGAAGGTGGGGAGAGGAAACACAGTTAGAAAATAATCAGATGAAAATAGTACAGTGAATTCATATATTGATGCAATCGCCTTTGCTCCAAACATACTGCAATCATGGATTTAAATAAAAAGACAGGGAGAAAACTAAAAGGCATAACGAACATCTCATCCCACTTGAACCTCAAGAAAAATACAAACTTGTAAGGGTGGTTGAAGTCACAGACCTACTGGACTCTAAGAAATTGATAATAAGTTTTGCTCCAGTAATAATGGGGTAATATAGCAGTGAGTCTAAAACAAAATAGGAACATAATGCATGCAAAAAATATGGGAACTGTCTTACTGAGAGCTATAATTGATTAGCTGCTAGATCTATATTTTATAACAAAAGTCATGACTGCAGTGGCAAGAGTTCACAGACAGAGATTTGTTACCAAGAATTGAAGCAAACCATTCATTGTTGTCGTTGTTGTTATGTGCCATCGAGTTGGACCTGACTCATAGTGACCTCTCTTTGGGTTTCCGGGGTGGTATCACTATGCAAGTTGATTGCCCAACCTTCATTCCAAGGAGTGGCTGGTGGGCTTGAACAGCCAGCCTTCTGGTTAGCAGTCAAATGCCTTAGGCACTATGCTACCAGAGCTCCTAACCATTCATTGGATGTACAATATTGACAATTTCACTAAAAACTGGACCCCAGAACGCTCATTATAAGATTTGGTCTACTATTCTAGCACAAGGAATTAGAAAGAGGTAAACAAAAGAAAATAGAAAAGCAAGAGAATGAGGAAAAGAAGTATAGTTAGAAAATAATAAGATGAAGATAATACAGTAAATTCATATATTGATAAAATCCCTTCTGCTTTGAACATATAGCAATCCCATTTACAACAGATCAAACATTGTATGGAAGTGTCTGGCAACCCCTTTACAAGTAATTTTGGAGTGCTCAAAAAGATAAATTAAGATTCACCTCCCATAATAGTGAAGAAATAATAAAATTAAAAAGAAATGAATTGAAGAAAAAAGAAAAAGAACAGATGGATTGAGAAAGAATAAATAAACTCAGATATTAAAAAACATAATTATTAAATTTTAAATAGACATCTCAGAATAATATTCAGACTAAACACAATTGAAGAGTACAGTATACCTTGGAAATATTGTGGGTTTAGTTCTAGAACACTGCAATAAAATGAATATTACAAGAAAGATTCACAGAATTTTTTTGTTTCCTGGTCCATGTAAAAGTTATGATTCCACTATACTATAGTCTATTAAGTGTGCAACAGCATTATGAAAAAGTTTGAAATATTATGAGAATGACCAAAATGTTACATTGAGATATGGAGTGAGTACATGCTTTTGGGAAACTGGGGCCAACAGAGTTTCTCAATATAGGGTTGTCAAAAACCTTCAACTTGTGAAAAATGAAATATCTGCAAAGCACAATAAAGTGAAGCGCAATTAAATTATGTATGCCTGTATATTCATAAATTGGACTAGAAGTATGGGTTAATTGTCCAGTAAATAACAAAAAGAAAAAAAAAGAAGCAAATAACAAAAATGAACAATTAAAAGACATTGAGTACAGTGATCAAGATAAAATTCAACAGTGAGAAATTTTGGGGACAATATGTACCTTTGATATCACATGATAAAAATGGCACTTTGCCCCTGTGGTGTTCTTTCCAAATACCCATACTCTCAGTCTGTTGTTGTTGTTGTTGTTATTTGCCATCGAGTCGGCCCCAACTCATAGCGACCCCTCCTTGGGTTTCCAAGGCAGTATCACTACGGAAGTAAGAGTGCCCAACCAAACATCAGACGTTTTCCAGTAGTTTTCCAGTAGTTTTCCAGTAGGGGCATTCTACAAAATACCTGACCAGCAATTCTTGAAATGATTAAAATCATTAAAAACAAGGAAACTCTGAGAAAATGTCACAATCAGTAGGAGCCTAAGGAGACATTACTATTAAATATAATGTGATATACTTTATGGGATCATGGAATAGAAAAAACAATGTGAGGTAAAAATAAAGAAATCTTAATAAACTGTCATTCACAAATTTTAACAAAAGTATGAGATCAATGTAAGATGTTAATAATAGGGGAAACTAGATGTAGGGTTTGTGGGAATTCTCTGTGCTATATTCACAATCTTTCTGTAAAATCAGAAACTGCTCTAAAAAATAAAGACTTTTTTAAAAAAAGACAATGAGAATAGAAGAGGTATCACATAAAATCTGTAGTTGTATAATAATATAAAATGAAAAGAGTACCAGAGAAACAATATTTGAAAGAGTTTAGAGAAATGAGAATTTTCCACAATTAAAGACATATTAATACTGAGAATGAAAGTACACTCCAAATACTGAGAAAAAAATTTTTAAAGTAAATTAACCCTATCCTACACACAAGGAAACCCTATAGGTAAACTGTATGACATCAACAATAAAGCATAAATTGTAAGAAATGCCAGAAAGCATATTACTTGAAAAATAATGATTATTACACTGATAGCTAGGCTTTTTAAAGTAAAATTATGGTTGATAACCTAGATAGACACAAACACACACAAAATCTTGGGAACAGGGGGTAGTGAACTAACAGGAAGTGATTAAAATCACCTAAACCAAAACATGGAAAAAGTGAGTACAAAAACTAACAAGGGACTAATCTCTAAAATTTACAGAAAACATCAACACCTTAACAAAAAGACAAACATTCCAATTAAAAATTAGGCAGAAGATATGAACAGACACTTCACCTACAAAGATCTACAGGCAGCCAATGAACACACGAAGAAATGATAACAGTCATTGCTGTTGTTGGGTGCCATTGAGCTGGCTTCAACTCATAGTGACACTGTATCCCACAGAACAAAACACTGCCCTTCTCTGTGCTATGCTCAAAATCCCTGCTATTCTTGTGCACATCATTGCAGCCGCCGTGTCAATTTATGTCATTGAAAGTCTTCCCCATTTTCTCTCACCCTCTTCTTTTTCAAGCATGATTTTTTTCTCTAGGGACTGGTCCCTCTGACAACAGGACCACAGTAGATGAGATGAAATCTGGTCATTCTCACTTCTAATTAGCATCCTGGCTGAACTTCTTCCAGTACAGATTTGTTCATTCTTCTGGCAGCCCATGGTGTTTTCAGTACTTTTCAGCAACACTGTAACCCCAAAACATCAACTCTTCTTTGCTCTTCCTTATTCATTGTTCAGCTTTCACATGCATATGAGACAATTTAAAATGACAGTTGTTTTGGTTACCTAGTGCCAGCCTGGCAGGAATATACTACAAATGCAGTGGCTTGAATAAACAGGAGTTTATTCTCTTACAATTTTGGAGGCTTTAAGTCTGAGTTCAGAGTGCCACGCTCTAGGGGCTGGGTGAAATCCCCTCAACCTTGGGCTTCAGCTCTGCCTCCTGCTCCCAGCCCACTGAAGCTAGAGGCTTTTCTTCACTCAGACAGCTGCTGGTGGCTGAGGCTGACCAGCCTAAGGTTGACAAGTAAAAAAAGCATAGTCCCAATGTTACCAAACCACATGGCAGGCCACTAATTAAAATCCAGATGAAATCCCAAGATTGGCAGGACATGGCAGGCTATTGAACAATGACTTGGCTACATGCAGGGTTCAAGCATGCCAAAAGGCTAGAGACCATTCCCAAAGCTGCTTCTTATATATGGGAAGCAGACCACATCCCTAAAGCAGTTACTTAGCTGCTCCAGTAGATTCTACCATGGAGTTGATTGCCAGTCTCATCATGGGGAATAACTACCACCCAGCTGCCCAGCCACTCAACCAGGCCCAGCCA